AAAAATCATTACAAGGATTATTTTTTAGAACAATCTAAATATAAGTTAGTGCAAAATGGCATTAATGGTATAGAGAAAGTATAAGCATGTACAACCCTTYCTATATTATGTACTGTAATATTGTACATTCATTTTATTTCTATAATCCACCAACATGCTTAGCTTCCACTAGATCTACCCAGATTTAATGCAATAACAATGATAGATAATGATTTACTWRTGTCAAAAGAAAAACTGTTCTCACCAGATTTTTCCTTAGCACATAAACCTGTAGCCTTGATCACTAAAAATAAAGCAAAAAATGTTAAAAAAGTATTTTGTATACTGTAGTTCCAAAAATTATCCATACCCCCTCACAGAGAAATAATTTTTTTAAGACCACCCCCTAACCCAGGAAATTCCAATTTTCTTCCATACAAACTCAGACAGTAATTTTTGTTCTTTTTCTGACCCCCCCCCCCCCCCCCCCACTCTTCAGAAATTCCAAATTCCTCTGTGGGGTRGGTATGGATGATTTCTGGAACTACACATTTTTGGGATCGACTAAATAATATGCAAATCAAGGGTCAAAGTGTCATCGGCAAAAGCTGTAAAAATTTGTTTTACACACTCTTTAAATTACATTTACTTCAAATTTTATCAATACACTTAAACAGCTTGACTGGTTTGCTAATCACTGATATGTTCAAAAGTTTCATAACAATGGATAACACGAAATAAATAATTTTTTTAATGTCTGGAGATTCATGAAAACGATTGTACTGTCTGATTTACTGACTTGATTTACYGACAAGATTTCCTGCTGATAGTTGTGAAATGGTAAAAAATACCAAAAAATAATGTATTATTCAAACTTTTTTACCTTTGACCAGGAGTTTTCCTTCTTCGCCTACACATGTTTGAAGAATTGGAGATTCAAGCTTGTCCTTGGTTCCAGAACTCCCCTATACAGTTGTGTAGGATAAGGATTAGTGGAYAATATATATATAAAATGGCTCAATTGGGTAACATTCTATAATGAAAAAAAGGATAAGGATAAACAGAATAAATTTGGTAACCGGTCATGACACCCCCTTGTCATGACGCCCCCAGACGTCTCCCATGGCTGGGAGACATGACAAGGGGGCGTCATGACTGTAATTCATAAATTTTTGTGCATCATCATTCATTTTTTAGGAGTAAAATATTTGAAAAAATAATCCAAGATTGTTATTCAGTTTTTAAGTACGATTACGAAAATCAACTAGAACTTAATTTTACAAAAAAATCAGTTGTTTCTTGAAGTATATGTACATCAGTGGGGAAACAGTTTCAGAATAAGAATGTCAACTTGAATTAAAAAAAAAAAAAAAGTATCAATTGAAATTGAATTTCAAAAAATAATGAATTGTAATGTGTGCTGTTGTATGTGCAGAAAACAGAACTAGAAAATGGTTGTCTAGTGAAATAAATAATTAAGAAATAACAGCTACAATCAATGTATCTATCAATAAGAATATGTACGAAGATGTCATGCATGTTTGGAATTACTTCTGAACGAGATCATTTTGATATAGAAAAAGCGTTAGAATATAAATGATGGAAAATAGACTGAAGTGCTTCCTGACACATTTTGAAGCTCCMACTTGTATTCCCAAGGGAAATAACAGAAACAGCAGGCAGTATAGAATAGGTATCCTATTCCACTTATGCATGCTATTAAAAATAATTTATGGATTTTCATGTGAAGTTAAATGCTGTTTACATATTATCATAAACCCAGTYGACAAAGAACAATAAATCATCGGAATGATTAAAAATTTTACTAAAGATTTAAAAGGACTTTTTTTGGTTAAAAGAAGAAAAATTTTGACTATAAAATGATATCTCTCATTRATCAAAGATAGCTGTATTAATGTTAAAAAATATATAACATGCTGTTTCATACACTATTGTCATTGTTTTTAGTAATAGAAAATAATTATGAATAGTGTCAATAACAGATAAAGGAGTGTAGTAGGTTCCTTAGTACATCAAAAATAGAAATATGAATGTAAAATATATCTTTTTCCTTGGGCTAAAAGATTGAGATTTGGGCACTTTAGAAAAGATTAAGTTCCACTTGTGGAAGTCTACAATATACAGACTGATTCGTAATATTGCTTTTTGAGGTAAAAATGAGCAAATATTCTTAAAAATACTTCAAGTGTCAAACTGTACATTTAACAGGTATTTTAGCAAGGAAATAAAATGATATCCAAAATGGATACACCTACAGATTTGAAGTAAGAAATAAAATTATATCTTTCATCTGCTTGAGAATAATCATAGCATGAAAACATKAAATGTAGCTGGGAGGTAATTTGCATAGAAAAAAGAATGATTTTTTTTATGAACTGTGTGTTTTTGTGTAATTAAACACTGAAAAAGTATTTGGTCTGAAATATTGATAAGTAGAGAGAAGAATTATGATCCAAGGATATAATCATATGCTCTGACAACAATAAAAATACTCCCAGATCAACCAAAAATAACCCCAGTCTATGAAAATAACAATAATAATACCCTAGAAATTGTAACTTAGACATTATAAATAATTGAAAATTATAGCATGGGGGAATTTTCAGTTCTTACCTGTAAGGTTCTCCCACTCACACAAACAAAAACATTAATGTTCACATTGTAGTTGTGTTCAACATTGATTATAGACCGGGGCCTTGGTTTAYTCATTCTGTTCTTTTTAGCCAGTGTACATTTCTTACTTGACTACATAATGGCTTAGATATGGAAAATATTCAACCCTGTCTGGGCTGTTTTTGAATTGAGCTTAGATTATCTGTGGTTTCTCAGAGGAGTGCTTGTGTAGGGAGCCAGTCATGCAGGTTGAAATGAAGCTTTTAMGTAGACTGTCTGCTAATAATTCAGGTGTCTTCCAAAGACTCTCCCATTCATAGCATTAACATATTACAGTCTTTTTCTCTTCAGGAAATGAATTTTATAATCAGATGTGTCAAAAGGAATGGTCTTGATGATTAAATGAACCTATCATGTCCAACTAGACAAATCATCACTTTGAACAAGATATTTCATTTATACCCTGATTGCAAAAGAAAAACCTCCAACATCTGCAGGCTGATATGAATGATTCATGGTGGTCTAATTTGCATAACAATCCATAACAGTCTATTAGAATAAAACACCAGGTGCTTGAATTCAAGTGGAGAAATTCACATAAACATCAAATATAAGCTATTAAAAATGTTAAAAAAGGTGAACAGAGTTAATAATGTACAATGTACAATATATAACTAGAGTCAATTTCAAGTCTTGCCTTAATGTTTTGATATAATGCAAAAATGAAGACCATATTGAAAGATAATTTTAAAGAAATTGAACACATGTTTCTTCTTAAATGTAGAGTCAAAATCAATTCGTTAAATAAAATTTAATCCACATTTTCCAGGCAGAGAGTAACATATGTGACATAGTTAGATGTCTATATTCAATATTTTTGTCTATAGAATAAGATATTAGAATATTTATTTTTAATTAAAATAGTTTTTCCAARCAAATATTTTTCTGTAATTGTAAAGTCAAATACAACAAGTCTCGCTAATTGTGTCSATGAGTTTGAAGGACTAAAAGTTATAGTCCTGAATATATTTTTGTGTATAATGTATTTCATATCATGATAATTATAACAACACAAGGCCAATATTTTTGGCTATTGTAAAAAAAAAAAAAAGCCACGTGTATTGATATATGATAAAAAGAATGATATTGATTTAGAAAAATAGAATTAATTATTTTACTAATAAATGTACACGTAGGGATATTCACTATTTTATTAGAGAGGGGAGGGGGGCAGTAAGGGGATCATGAAAAACTGTATCAAAAGACGACCCTTCAATGGATGAGATGTAGAAGATGTAGAAGATGTACATATACAGTAAGGGGTATTCATTTTTTTATTAGAGAGGGGAGGAAGGCAGTAGGGGGGTCATGAAAAATGGCATCAAAAAGTAGAGGACTCAATATTTTAGGTCATTATTTTTGTATGAAAAAAGGGTAAAAATATATGTAAATTTGTTGAGCTGTATACTAGTTACTTACAGGTTCAGTCTTGGTAGGACTTTCTGCCAAGGGGACATTAGTGACTGTTTTGCATATCACTTCTTTAAGCTTTTCCTCCACAGCTTCAACAGCAGCTGCATCAATACCATCCTATCGGATGAAGAGAGATAATATAATAAATAGAGATAACCATCATCAATTGATTATATCATACACATGGGCGAAGAGAGGTCTTGGTCATACAGGGGGGAAGGGTACAATGTACCATTTTCCTGCCAATACACAGAGTTTCATCTTTAGAGTTTCTTGCCACAACCACAGATTTTTGGTGGGGGGAGGGGTGGGGTTATCCCCCCTTGTTATTCTACTGTTCATATACTGTTTAACATACATTTTGTGGTATTACTTTACTTCCACTATGAAAATTATTAATGGTGGATTTTGTTTCTTTGGGAATACCAAGGTAACTAGGTTACTAACTACAACAAATGATCAAGTGTGCAAGGGATAATGTTTTAGTTTTAGTAAATGATGCTATAATGCTAATGCCCTATTATGAATGCAATTTCTCTTATACAGTAGCTGATGTTGAAATACGAGATCGATCAAGGGCAGATGTGATGGGGAAATTGAGGGATAGGGCAAATACATTTCACCTCATCTCAATATACATAAATTATAAAATCTACCTTCACCCTCCT